AATACTTCATTGTATCGTATAAAATTGAAAACATTAGATTTATTTTAGTTTCGTTAATTATATGATATAATAGTGATCCATATATTATTATTATTAAAATAATCAACAACATTACTGATGTCTCAGATTTAATTAAAACAAAACAAGAATACAAGACATCAATGTCATATTATTAGACCCCAATTTTATAATTTATTCGAATAAAGAAATGTTTATCTCAATTGTCTGATTAAATGGTATGTCGCTAACATATTCTAGTATTGAAGTAATCATTCAAATTAAAATTTAGGCAAATTTAATCCTACCTCAATAAAACAAGGATCTACAGGAATATCGTAAGGCAGTACTGAATAAAGGTGTGTTTTACATAATTGACTAGTAAGCTAGAAAATAGGTATATTCAAACGTACAAGAGAGTGCACTTAGGAATTGATTTTACGCTATGTTGACTAAAAGATTTGATTAAAAGAAGACAAATTTAAAAGCTTTCACAATGTAAACAGGGGTATTTAAGCAAAACAATACATTGTATAAAGTGGATGCCTCTTTCACACATGTACCCACCACAGTAGATACATCTCTTACATCAACTACAGTCAAGAAATCATCTTTAAAAGTAAAAATACAGAATTAGGGAAACTTTACCGACAATATCTAGGAAATACGTCATTAAATTTATGGTGGGATTGAAAAAAGTATAAATATAAAACCAAATGATAAGCAACTATAATGAACGTCCATGAAACACAACGTGAGAGATAGACCTTGCAAGGCAATTAAGTGAAGCGGTATCTATGGGGTCTAATGTTTAGCATAATGGAAAATATATCGGTAAAAAATGGTTCAATGAATTCTTTAAAAACTGATGCACATTTCATAGATATTTTTGACATCATTATTAGTGTACGCCTAAAAGTGAAAACTAAAACTTTCAGCATTTTCACACTGAATTTATTCTTATAAATCATTAGTACTGCACATTTTCTTAAATAAAATTTAATGATCACTGAAACTAAGACTGAGTACTGATAACTTACTGACGATTGGTTCAAGTATATTCACTTGTAACTGATTTCCAGAAATAAAATATTTAGTGCTAAAAAGCTGTAAACTGTGGTAACGAAATTGTAGATTTCACTATAAGTTGAAAACAAATTATTAGACAAGTTTATATCGATTGTGTCTTTACTGATCAATAGACTTCATAAATCAAGTAACACAATTTTTCGAAGCAAATTAAAAATGTGTGATTCATAGTAGTTTTATGAAGTTAAATCAAGTTTTTCCATATGAACATTCAATGGAATATTATAGTGGAATCATTTCTATAAGTTTCTCCAATAGGCAGTGAAACAAAATTTTTGCGTAGAATTTAACAAAACATACATTACATTGTTAAAATTTGACAACAGTAATGCACAATCGAATATTTTGTAGTGACTGCTCCATAACCTTTTCACTAACTAAACGTCTGTTTAACTGATATATCTTGAAAATTATCTGAGCTAGAAATCCTCTAATTTTTACCCCTGAATTTTATAAGCTTTCACATCTAAACGATTTTATAAGTTCTATGTATTTAACACGAATGGCTATAGTACCACGAAAATCTATTTGCTCCATACACACCAACCAAAAAATATACGATAAAGTTTAGAGTTATATAGTAGTATTTTATTAAACTATCAAAATGAGTTTGTCAATATTTAAAACACAATACGAAGGTGACCTTGACAACTAATTAAAACAAGCTAGAGCACAACTGAATAATCAGGATTTTATTTATTAGAACACATAAATATTGGTACAAAGAGGCACCAGATATATGTGCACCACAAAAAGCAATCAGAATGGGAGAAGAAAAAAAAGGTAAGGTGCGTATAAGAAAAAAAGGAAGAAGGAAAATAACGACCGCAGATTAGTGTATGGTAGTGTAATAATAATAATGGGGTAAACGGAAAGGTACAACCAGAAAGAATTTCTTTGGTTAAGGAAGTTGCAACCACTTTTTATGAGAAAAATAACAGGTTACAGCAGGATCGCCACTGGCTTCTATTCTGAGCCATATCTGGTAACGTCTCTAGCCACTGTGTTGCACCATCTCTCGGACCCCAGCCAAGGAGCCGTGAAGGACCGACAGAAGCCAGCCCGAATAATCAGGAACCATCAATCTTGTGTGGGCTCATATGTATGACTGGATGACAGGAAAAATCACTCTTCTTTATTGTTAATTTCTCACTGTTAATCTGACAAAGTGATTTACATCAGTTGAAGTATTCTGAGATTTGGCATAGTTAGTATCATTTCAGTAGTATCTTGCAGTTGGATAACAGGAAAAATATTCTTTCATTTGACCACACACGAGTAAAGTACATCTGTTTAAATTAATTACGAGTTTAATAACCTCTACTTAACTGATATTTTTTTAGAAACAATCTACGTACGTCTTCAGTTGTTTTTGAGTTTTCTTTAAAATTAACTTCGTTGATAACAGAAGAACAAGTGATAAATTTCAAAGTAAAAAGAAACATTAAAAATGTTTGGGAATATTACTACCTTTTTAAGTGTTGATAATAAAAGCAATTAACAGGGATACTAGACACTAAAAGTACAAATTAAAGTGTAAGATCGTCTCGAAATATTGATTAATATGACTAAATAATAAAATTTAATTGATCTCCATTTGATTTTTTGAGAATTTATGACTACTAGGTTAACAGTTTTCCGATTCCATGAAAAATTGAACAATTTAATAATCACATAGTTATTTTTTACATATTTAAACTTTTACTCATATCAGCCAAAATACGTCTTTTAAAACATGGTGATCCCTTGGAAACGTCTATGTTACATTGCACATTAGATATTCTATGGTTAGTAAGCAATGATAAATTTCCTAAATCTCAAAGCTGATCAAATCCCTTTGTTTGAAATTGCAGTTTCAAGCTATTCGAGTATAGGTCTTTGAAGGTCTACTTATCTCAAAGAATCTGAACCTACATAAACATTAAAACTTAGCAAACTTACTACTTTCTTTTGATCATTTCTTACAGACGAACCTATCAAGTAAGTGTTCAAGTGTACACACACCCCTCATAAATTGACTGAAAGTATGTGATGAACTGAAAATATGTAGACAAGTGTATCTAAATGGAAATGATTCTAACCAAATATCGGTATCGATTGATGAGTGTGAACTGTTAAATTATTCGCTATTATCTTAAGCTCCGCAACTACATAAAAAGTGACCATCCACTAAACTGTTATGAAATATCATTAAAATCACGAACTAATCAAAGTTAGTCAACATGGAGGCAATGGTCGGCCATTTCGCGGACGAATACTTAACCTCCGGACAGATAAGCTGAGATCCAACGATATACAAGCCTAATTTCTACAATTTATGCTCCACATAAACACTAACTAAATATCAAGTTGAACATTGACAATGTTAGATTGGATATTGCATGTCTCTAAAGGCTTATAAGAAAAACTAGTAAGAGAGAAAAACCAGTAGGAGCATAATTAGAAACTATAGAGCACTGGATTTTTATTTGATTCCAGCCTGAGACCTCATAGCAGTATGCGTTATTGATTGCAGTACAAGCTAAAAACGATCTTCATACGTACTGAGATTGTCAACAATATGAATTCACTCATGTTCGTGGATGCAAAAGATTATGTAGACTAAAATGAAGCAACAATAAGACTTTGGTTTATTCAACTACTAGAAAGGACCGCAATTTATGAGAACAATATCAAACACCAGTTAGTTAAACTAATTCCTTTCCCTAAAAATTCAATAAATTGGGTAATTTATTATTCACTTTTCAATATTAGCACGCCCAAATGAACAAAAAAACACTGAATAAAATCATTTTACGTTGTTTGAACAATGAATGAGTTCATATTTGCTAGATCTCCTCGTGTTATCGGGATGAAAAGCTTACACATATGATAAACCGAAGTATTATATAGTATAAAGCAATGTTTAAGAAAGCTTCCCTATCAAATAGAGTGGGCATGTTCCATCGAAAATGCGACAAAAATATAAAATATGTAGATTTACACAAATTTTCTATTGTAAACACAATCACGTGTTTCCGTGATTAAATCCTGTAGGTGTAGCGAAATTTAAACTATAAAATAGAGATGAAAGCTTTAAGGCACATGATTTCAGCAATAGGTAACATCACAAGACGATTAATGCTGCTTTTATCTCATACCATTACACAAAGGGCTATTCCAATGAATTTTTAATTAGACCAGTGAGTCCAAAATAACATGTGTATTTATTGTACATAAAGAAAATAAAATATGAATTTAAATAATCGACAAATTGTATAACCAGTGCTAGAACATTATTTTCATTTGTCATTCCCGTTTATTGCACTGAGAAACGATTATTATTACTACACTTGAAAATAATATGTTTGTCACCAACTGATATTAACTAGTGAACTAATGAAAATCATAAAATACTCAATAGATTTCTCTAACCTAATTTATCCCTTATGAAGACATTATATCGTGAATTAACTAAAATTAGAAAAATGGAACAATCGATGGATTCAATGATGTCATACCGTGAGACCTAAATTTTTTGGGCTTTATTCCGTATTGAATGGAAGTAATCACTAATAACTAAAATCAAACAGTTGTTACTGGCTTTTATTCACTCTTCAGAAGTCGTGAACCTCTGGTGGAAATTATCTTCAGACTACAAAAAATCTTCACAAGTTCATCTAAGGATAAAACAGATCTACTACATCCATAAGAAAAGTTCCACAACAACCTGAGCATTCATGCGGACTACGTTGACCGATTCATATAGAGTATGGATATAGACTTGTGTTAATTTTGTAGAAACACCTTACTTGTCAACAGTGCAAAGCTTATATATCTAAATACACATCCAAATACCAAGTCAATGGATCGAATATGCTGCAAATACCCTGTACTAGTATCTATAATTGAGATTCACATCATAAAAGTGAAGATTTACTCGGTCCAATACAAAAACTATTTTCTTTCATGAGAAAACAAGACATATTAGTGCTATATATTTACAGAAGTATCATTTAAACAAATATAAATGTGCGTACAGGAAAAAAGTATATAACATCAACACAAGAATCACTTAACAACACTCGGCCACACAAATTCTATCTCGTAGTCTTATATACGAATTTATATACACCAATATAGGGAATAGCAAATAGTAAAGCTAGCCACAGCCAAAATATAAATGAGCTTACATAACGAGTGAAAAAACACGAAACATCGAGAGAGAGAAAGAGAGGAAGAATAAGGATAAACACTTGGATTGGGATATTAACTGTTAAGTAACAAAAAGATTATATATATATATATATATATATATATATATATATATATATATATATGTTGTTGATGGCTAACTGTAAAATCAAATTGGAGATACAGTGTCAAAATAAGATAAACATTATCCGTTGTTAGATGATACAACATACAAACATTCACATATTTTAGATGAACTCGCTTTTGAAGTGTCATTTTGTTAAGATTTGAAAGAAAAAAGTACAAATCATGTTACATTATTATAAAAGAAAAGTGTTTCAATTATAATTTACGATGCATAACAAATATTATTACTTAAGAATTAATCGAATTCTTTTCAGATAACATTATAGATCTACATAGACATAATGTATTGCTAAAAGGATACAGGTGAAATTATATTTGATGCTTGTGCACGAACTCGTCGTTCTAACGATTTTTCATCCATGTAATAGAAATTATCTTCTGTTATTTTTGAATGGAAATTAGTCCACAAATTGTAAAAACGTTCTAATGGATTACAACTTTTAATATCTTGAGATATTGATAAAGTACCTGGCAGATTATTAGTATTATTATTGTTATCATTATTACTGATAATATTCTTTGACCTTAGACACAATTTATGATTGTTATTATGAGACTGAGATAGATTCAAGGAAACTGTAGAAGTATCACCAACCTTATTAGATTTTAAACCTGCATAAACATTCGTCAAACCAAGTTTATGATGACATTTACCATAGTGATGATGGTTGGCATGATGAATATATGCTGACTTCAACTTTGAATGTCCACCTAGAAAGTGATAATTTTGGAGAAAAATTAAGAGAAAATGAATATAGCATATAATTAACATTTAGCTTATGTTTAGAAAAAAATAATTGGTGAAAAAATCTTTGAAAATGTACACAAATGATATACTTCGTGGATTATTTTATTCATAACAAGGTGAGAAAAAACATAATAATTTATAAAGAACGGGATGGCAAAAGTAAATGATTAGAAAATTGGAGTATTCAAATAATGATAGAATGACCAATAACATAACAAAATTCACTAATATTTACGTTCATAGTATGAAATTTAGATTTAGACTCCATGATTTACATCAATACTTCAATGAACTCCTTATCTCTTTAAATACGTATCTACAAAGTAATCAATAAGTTATTAAGAATTTTTCTGAAAAGAAACTGTCTACGTTTGTCTTCATTGGATAAATTTTCCGAGACAAATGACGACTTAAATTACGTTTATAGATTAAGTTGAATATACTGATCTCATAAATTAGTTATTAAAATTATGTGATTTATTATCCATTAAGTAAATTGTTTCATAATTCGTCTCATCTATACATAATTAAACATAAGTTTATTACCGTTTATCTGCTAAAAGGAACAACATAATTGATTTATGACCTATTTGAAATTTGTCGACAGTTTACTAGAAGAATATAATCCTAAGAATTTGTTATTAATAGTGGAGATTAAGAAATTATTTTTTAATTAGTAATATGCTTATTGTACTACCATTTTAAACTGTTTAGTTCTTCATCCAACATTGCTTCTTTTATTGCAATTGCGTCCTCTGAGGTCAGACAACGCAATTCCAACAAAATCATCCTTCTGAGCTACAAATCTTCTCCACCATATCAACATTGCTTCTATATTGACAGGCTTTCACCAACAGGCAATTGATGAAAGCCTGTGATTATGATTTCTTGTTTACTAGAGAGTATAGAACAGCCCAAAGTTGTTTGTTACAACAATGGTAGAATTAGTAGGATGAAATTGTGTGAAAATATCAGCGATGGTAAGAAGACCTTCTTAAGTTACGAATACACTGTCCCGATCATTTGTCCTCCTAAAAAGAGAGAAAATAAAAACCAAACTGCTAATAAACGCTGACTCACCCTTATACTCATTATATACTGCAAAAATAGATAAGAATTATATTATAATGCTTAAAACACTACCTATAAAAGACCAGTAAGAGATTGAGCTACATAAGAAGAAATATAATAACACTTAAATAACTTACTTTCAGCATTGATACTAATTAACAGAGAGTAGTGAATACTACAAAAAATATAATGCCAATTTATAGAAGTTAATAAATGAAACCATTGTAAACTGTTTAATTTATTTTAAGACGGTAAGACTACTAGTTACAAGACTTGCATTTCAACTACTGAAATTCAAATTTACACAATCTCCTCCACTAGATAGAATCATTCATTAATAAACATGCGAAAGATATAGCCCATAACCGAGTAGATATTAACTCATAATTGGTTATTGAATTACATTAACTAATTGTTATATTGATACTGCTGTTTTCCATAGGTTCATCGTTAATATATATGATATTCTTGAGAATACTATTATGAACGTTGCTTCACAGATATTGATAATTAGATATCTAAAATTTCTAAAGCTCGTTACAAATTTAATGAAGATTCTGTACAATGACTGATAAAACAAGAGCACACTAAAATGTTAAATCTTAATTTGAAATTCTATAAATTAACCATAATTTTAATGATCATGATAAGGTTAGTTTAAGAAAAAAACTATTATAAATTAAGAAATATTACATAATAGTTGATTAAAATTTTAAGAAAGACAACACTAAAATGTATATGAAAATAAATTTACCTGAAAGTAAAGAAATTTGACTAGATTGATGTTGATTATACTTTACAGTTGACCAATGATTATTTATCATATGAGATTTTTTCAATTTTTTAACCGCTTCAATAAGATAATTATCTGAGTAATAACCATTTGAAATGTCATCTAATATACTTGAAGATTCAGTACAACTTGAATAATTTACATCTGTATTATATGCACTTTCATCACTATGATGAGATTTTAAGTGATAAATTTTAAAATTCTTATTTAATGAAGATAATTTTGTTAAATTCGATGACTTGATTTGATTAATTGTTGTATTCATGCCAATAAAATGTCTAGTAGGCATAACCATAGAAGCTAATGAATGTAATACAGTTTGTAAGCATCCAGGTAGACCAATCAAATTTGGATATATATTATTATGAAAGTCAAGTTGTTCATCATCTGAATTTACACTATTTTCAGTTGTTTCTGTAGATGAGCATAAAGAGACCTGATAATTACAAAAAAAGCATTGAAAATCATAATAATACTGAACGAACATGGAGTAAAAATACAGCATATATCACTGACACTTTAGCTTGATTTAAAAAGTATGATCATTTTTAGGCTAATGCATGAATCACCCCCTAATCCTTTTAGTATTATTCGAATTTCAAAAAGAACAGATTTTTTTTTAAATTCGAGTTCATAAAAGGTTGTAAGTTAATGCTATGCAATAAAATACAGGTTCCTACAGTGATCTGCGAATCATACTTTCTGTAAAATAAACTCTGACAATAATCACTAGTTTATTAAAAATAAGTAGAAACTTTAAATTTGAACTTTTCCAACGTTTACTGTAAATTCTATTATTAATTAGGCAAAGATTATAAATTAAATTCAAGGGAGTGAATATTTTGTTCTTACTGTGTTATAAAACGTGTAAGACGTAGAATACGATAGTTAATACGCACTACCTGTAAGGCATTAGTTGGAGAGTTTCCTGTATATATTCACGGTTTAACTGAACATTCTAAGTGATTTCGTGTCATTCTTCCAGTTTAGCATCATTCAATCACGAATTAATCCTACGATAATACTGGTTATCCAACTGTAACTAACATTGAAAAATTTAAACTTAATCGGAAGCCAGAAAAACAAAAGCACTTTCTCATGGTCACTTCTACGATAAAAATATCTAACCTACATTAACAAGTTTATTGTACTCCATCAAATAAACAACTAATTTGATTAAAATGATCAAACCTAAAAAACTACAAATCAGTGACTGAACATCCTACATAGTATATCAAGAAATCAATGAAATGTAACAAAAGTAAATTGTAAAGTTGTAACTACAAGCATCTTCTAAAATCCACTACAAATGACTATTGAAACCAGATGATAAGAACGAAACAATCATAAGAAATAATCAAAAGATATTATGAACTAATTAGATATAATATCAAGGTTATAAGTGTCAATAATACATAAACATAAAAATCTCTTAATATGTTATTGAAGTATTATTTTCACACAAGGCAGTACAGAGTTAGATTGCTGATCAATATCAACACGAATAAAAGGGATTAATAAATGGTAGCAGATATGAAACTTAGTTTCACCACATTTTAGCAACTGCCTCAAACTAACCTATGCCAATTAAAACATACTACATTACTGAGACATATTTTGACGCTTTTAAAGCATTTCTCGTAGACGAAATCCAATCTATGTCGAAGATTAAAATGTTACATAAGCTACCGTTTACTGATCAATTTGTGTGAATGTATGATCTCACCGCATAAATATAACCTTGATCATAAATTATGTCAAAGTTTTGGTTATATAAACAACATGAATAGTTATCGTCCTTTACAACGACAAAACAAATAAATCCAAAATGAAAATTCAATTACCTTGGATAGATATAATTTGATCAAAGTTGAGGATAAGGGTGATGAAGGGAATAGATATTCCTTATCTTTTAAGGGGGGTGAGTTTGTAGAACCTAGTGAATTACTATGAATTTTAGATAATTGTATAGCATCAAGTTGGGCATTGGCAGAATTCGATTCAGTAAATGATGCACCAAAAATGAACGGATCCAAAGCAGGTTGAGAATTCGAATTTGGTTTCAATGAATCATTCATTTCAGTAGATTCGCAGGCACTTTTAAATTGGGAATTAGAGTCCTTTAATGTAAGACAAGGCAGTTCATGAGATGAATTTTGGTAATCTCCCAAAAGCGTGAAAGAAGGACGACGTACCATGCTGCGAACGAATAATTTTGATGAATCGATATCATGGTTTTCACTTAAATTTATACGATTGATTTTGCGGCACTAAGTTTGAAAAAAGCATTGGAACAAGTTAAACAAACAAATAATCTTATGAAAGTTTAAAATATAAAAGGGAGTCATCTCCCTACTAAGTAGTTGTTAAACCAAATCGTTAAAGGAATATACCTACTGTCATATATGTACCTGCTCATCCATCTTCTAGTCAAAGAGCAACTTTACTGAATAGTGCTTGAGTCTATGACATTTTATGACAGTGGTATATGAAGATAAATATACGTAAGTCCCAATAATTTGATTTCATATAGTGTAACCAAGTTAGCTAAAATGAGTTGTCATAGGCTACTAGACTGGATCTGTAAATTGATTAACGACATTGTGAAGCTTAAGTGACTGTGTTTAGAACATGGATCATGTAAGCCTAGCCACCACTATGCGTAATAGTACAGGTCAGTTTACTCGGCTGTAGGTCACACTTAAGGTGTTATAGGTAGTTATACTATGCATATGAAAAAACTGAGACAGGTTGAGCATAGCTCAAGCAGAAAACTAAGTGTTTAAAAAGTGGATACTTTAAACATCAGCCTCCAAATACCCTGGTACGGCCGAGGGTGGGAAGATTCAGATCTTCCTCTCGAGAAGCTCTCACATGACCACGCGTATACAGCCACTGCCAGGGAAGCCCTACTTACTGCCTTCCGCAGCAGGGGTGTTGTTTACGAAATTGAGAGGACGTAAAGGGGATGTCCGGTGCTTTAACCAGGCTGGTGGATATGGATATAATCACTAATATAATTAAAGTCCAAGAATTCAATAGAGCCGGTTGAAATAAAACGAATATTTGCCTTTGCATGACTCATTAAACAGAGAAAAACCACAGGAATGCAACATAAAAATGTAGACTGGAACTACCAATATTGAGGTTCACTCATGCAATCGTAATTACAAATATGGTAACAGTGATATACATTGTACAATCAATAAAACCATGTTACCAAAGTTACTGAAAAGAGCACCAGCAAATGCACATTACATTTGAACATTTAATGTCTTACTTCTGTGATATCAGCAAATGAGAGAGTACGCCTTCGACAAACACTTTGATGCTTTGGCATGAGTTAAGTCTGTAAATTGACCTGCGAAAAGAAAAATATTTTAATTCACTTGTGTTTAAAACTTTTGCTGTTTACAACAAGCAATTAAATCCACTTCCCTACATCCCTGTACATCAATTCTTTCAAATTTCTTTGATTTTATTTAGCTGTCAATTGTGTTACACAATGCATCATCATTATCTGCCAGATAATTTTCCGGATAAAACTTTATTCTCTTCAGCTATATTCAGGTAACTAAATAACTTACATATTAGTTTTTTGTAATCAGCTCATTCTGAAAACTCTATAATTGAACAGATAACTGACAGACAGCTTTAAAATTAACACTAGACCTATAATTTCACTATTTAGCTACATCTGAATTTTTCGATATAGCAGAAACTTCTTATTGATGTCAAAATCAAAGAATATGCATAATAATCTCTTCGTACTTAGTTTTTGCAGCCAGTAAATTAGGTGGTAAATAAACTAATTCTTCACAAAAAAGCCTGATCTGCTGGCACATCTGAAATAGGTTCTTTTATTAAACGACTTTACCATATAGTTTATATTTTACATGTGATTATTAGTGACGAGGCAACCTAGTTAACCAAAAACAATACGTTAGATAACGTAGCAAATGGGAAACATCATAAGGGATTTGTTGAAATCAGACTACCATGATAAGTAAACATATGGAATACCAATTCCTATTGCATAATAACCATAATCAGCAGTGATCTAGCTACCATAATCAAATGAAAACATTGTGGTGATGTTAATTTAAACAATATACTGATCTTAGTTACTACTGAAATGTCCCTAAACACAATAACTTAAAATGACGAATTTTAAACTAATTTGCAAAGGATAGTTAAAAATATAGTGCGACCATTTTCATGAACTATGTGTTATCAAATACAAAGTGCACTCTATTACATAGTAGCTGCAATAATTTGAACTTTAATTATCCGCATGCACTGTAAAGGAACGTTATAGAAAAGTAAATAATCATTAGTTCCATAGCTATTTTCAGCACGGGAAACTGAAATAACGAACAAAACCAATGTTATTGAAGAGTAACTATAATTCAGCAATAATTCTCTTTTCAACGATTTCATTTACTTAGGCTGTACAACTGTATTGATACCACTGTCTTTATTGTATACATACACCTTTAAACTGATTCCAATGTAGATGATTTACGATTTAAAATCTCAACTTCCTACGTACTATTAAGACATAACTCAATTAATTACTATCTCAATGATTTCATCATATACATTAGCTACATTAAATGGTTCTGTACGCAGATAACATTAAAGAACAAAATAATAATATATACAGCATATCAAGATTTAATGCAGCATATTGTTATAGTAAAATAACCCAGTCATTTGCCTCATATAAAAAATGATACACAGTATAACGAATTAATGATCGAGGCTAACAGATAATGTCACATATTTCCCGAACAACGTACATAGACAGCTGAAAAACCTGACATTTTCCCCACCTCAAATTAGTTAACAGGTAGTTACAACAAATGCTATATTCCAGGAACACGTCACTTTTAGTTTGTCACATCCAATTATATCCCGAACTAGAAGTTCGCTATCACATTTGGAAAGGTCTGAGTAGCTCATAAATCTCTGGAAACTGGATTCACTTTTAGGCAGATCAGTAGTTAAGGACCAAGAAACACATGACAGGTTGACGTTGCTACATCAACGGATGAGTTATATTGTCCTTCAAAGTCCCCGAGGCGTTTCAGATGGCTGCGGAATGAATTCTCATAAACACTACATACTATTTCATTAATATGCTGCTTATTTTCAGTCGCTAAAATGAATATATATGGTGCATAGCAGTTATCATCTGCAACTGATGTTTTCAATAGGTTAAACACAGTGTTCACTAGCTTTCGCGGTTTTAAATTGAGCTTCGAGAAATTTTTCACGTGCGTACTGGTACTCGTGACCCACTAGAAAAGATCAACGGACGTAAAGACATAATAAGCTATAAAAAATCTAGTTCTTATAACAGAACTGCTTCGCAATTTCGCAAGTGAATTTATTTCTATTTTCATGTCATTCTTTTTACTAAAACATTATCGGCAATCTATGCCTCTCCGTAGATCAATAATTAATGCTAAAATCACCTGTTTGTCATTGGGCTGAAACGGTGACCAAAACCGATTCGCGTAAAGTGATCTGTTTTGGACAACAAAACAGTTCACCTCTGAAACGCTACAAGTAGAGCCGTAGTTATATACCCATTTGTGCCACCAGTATGTGATTTTAATATAAACTGAGTCGATTCTTGATTATTATAAAAAATCAGGAGACATATCAATGATAAACAGTGATAGCACCCAGTGAATTATGACCTGCGAACTATTATTCATCGTGTCTAACAACTGCAAATATCCTATCTTCATATGCCACGTTTTTCAGCCATGCAGTAAGACAGCCGTATTGTTATCTTTTCATAGACACGTCCACGTTGCCACAGCTATTTAGTGAAATTTAGAGGAGCCTTCTGTGTAGTTACTAAGACATTGTAGACGAAGAACCCACAGGAAGAGGAATGACCAACGTACTCCCCCTAGTTCTTCATCATGATCAGAAGAGGCGTGGCAGATCAGAGCTAATCCATATTTGAACTTATAGAGAGAAGCATATCTCAAACATGAACACGTCATTCAAAGTCTCGAGAATAGTGGGTCTCGGCAGCATTCTTACTAAATAAAAACATTTCATTCGCATTCCTAATTTCGAGAAGCATATTGCCAGTAAGGTCAATCCCTGACGTCGCGAGATGGAATAATAATCTCAGAGGATTTGTGACAAAATCGATCAAAATTGAATTTACTCTCAGAACCCTGCCTGATATTTTCGAATTCGATAACAGTTTACAGTAACCTGTGGTTTTAATAAGTTTTGAACGAGGAACTTTCACATCTACGTATATTCATAGTACGCTTTTCAGTGATAGGCTACCATAAATCATGTAGATCGCTGTATTAAAATAAAACCGTACTGTCAATTGAACATAATGATTAGTTGTATTCGGTAGGTAATCCTACGTTAGAAAAGCCAACAAACTGAATATTTTTGAGAAATGTGAAAACAGACACAAGATAATATTTTATGGAAAAAAAATTTAATTAGGCCTATAGGCGTAGCAATTGGATACAAAAGCTTATGCAGATTCACAAAAGTATGTATTAGGAAGAAACGAGTCATAACTTACGGGTACGAGAAGCAATAGCGATAACATGAGAAACCAAAACTAGAAAAGCCGCTGAGGTCATATTGGTTTCCAATAATCAATCTCATTATGAGGAGTAAATGGATTATTAACTCTATCGTCTTTGTGTTAAGAACATTTAGTAGTCTTTTTTAGTGTTCGCTTAGAATGAAGTATTCGCATAACTGCAAAAGGTATGGTAAGTTGAACAGATAATTAGAGGTTGGATGATGTAAAGTAGTTCTGGATCTACAAAATTGTAGTAACCGGCTTTTGTCGATTCACTTCGATAGTCATACCAAATTTAGGAAAACTTTTTGAAAGTTCCCGATCGAAATATGTGCACAAACCCGCTCATAAACGCAAATAAATGTTCGCCAGATAATTCAAATTGTTCAAACGGTTGTGGACGGAATAGAAGAAGCTTTCGCTTAACAGACTTCACTACGGAAAGTCCTGTGCAGTTGCAGAGAGCCGTCAGTATAGTTGATGTGGGACGGTTGAAATGTTCGGGAGTATTGCTGAGCCAGAAGGTTAGCGGCGTCACCGTCATTATCTGCCGGGCCGTTAGGACCTAGCAGTTGATAAACTCCAGTTTTGGCTTGATGACGAGAGGCTGCGTAACGGAATAAGCTTTTCGGATTGAAAGTAAATTTAACCATAAGATTTAACTGGTACTGAAGCCTGTCTTCTCTTATAGCCTTCGTAAATATGTTCCTTATATGTTTGTATTGCCTGTACTCGCCATGGTTGTCGGTTCGTTTGTATTCTGCCCAACAGTGCCTTTTACGGCTCAGCGAACGAATAGTGCGGTTTTTAATGATTGTAGGTTGTATGTGGCTTTTGAGGACCGTTTGAGGGACTGACTGCTTTGTGGCATATAAGAGCGTGTGTAATAGAAAGTTCCACTAAGCATCCACATCAAGTTGAGGGTGAACATCCCAATCCACCTGTTGTAGATAGTCCTGTAGAGCTGACGCATTCAACCGTTCGAAATTCCAGAGCCTGTTGTTGTTGGGATATCTTAGCTCAGTTTTGCTAACAAAACTGAAGGCTATAACGGCGTGGTCGCTTTTCCCCAGGGGAGCCAGAATTGAGAGGTTGTCAACTAGAAATTCTTCATTTGTAAAGACGCGGTGTCTGACTGTTCCTCCAACGAGTAGCCAACTTCACATTTTCGTGTAGTCCCAAATCCTCAATGAGGTTGAAGAACCGAGCTTCAGTTGAATTTTCACCTCCAGTATACGTATGTTCCGCGAAGTTGACTCTAGGGAGATTGAAGTCCCCTAGAATCAGGGTATGAGTGAAGCCCAGACGCGTAGAGCGGGATAGTCCTTCCAGCATGCGACTTTCATACTCGATGTAGGCAGTGGGCTTCCTATATATGACTCCGACTAGGCACCTCGAAGTAGTGGACAGTCTCATAGAGCACCATACGGATTCCTAAAGATTGTCAAACTCATGGTTGTTAACTTGGCGTACCTCCAAGCCAGATCGTATGTATAGGGCTACTCCAGCCCCAATTCCTGTTTTTCTGTCATTACGAAACAGAGACATCCCAGGTATTGCTAGCTCCTCGTCCGAATACTGAGGAGATATCCAAGTTTCAGATATTCCTATCAGATGAACCTTATTAGCGTTGCTAAGTTCACTTAGTTCATCCATTTTATTTGGTAGACTCGCGGCGTTCATGTATAAGCAGTTAATGCTCTCAATTTGAAACGCGTGAGCTTCATCCTGTTTGTCTGTGAGAGCCTGACGTGAGTGGACAGATAACCCACCTATATAAGTTTTGTCGAATTGGTAGGCCCTGTCCTTGAAGACAGTCCACAAGTGGAATGGTCAGCTCCAGCTTGCCTTTGTGTTTGATTCTGGCGTCGTATGGCCTGTCCGGGTGCATGTGGATCCCAGTTGGAAACCGACGTCTGTTGGCACGAAATACTTCCAGAGCTGCAGCCGCCATATGGGAGGATGGAAAAGTTATTCTCGTTAGTCGGGGTCTAGGATCCCCGTCATTCTTGGCTAGTCTCATCACATGTTGAGTCAGTATGTTTGTAAGCCTCAAGGACTGTTTGATGAATTTCCATTCCCGAATGTCAGAGTTTGCATGAGTAGGGTCCATGTTTTCCGGTACACCTTGCACGATGATATTTCTTCCGCAGAAAAACTTCTTTCGAGAAACTTTAGGGACGTTTCGGATGAGATTGCGCTCAGAATACGGTATGTCGGGCAGTATTCTGACGTTCCCATCGGATTTCAGTAGATGACTAGCTAACAGGACATCCTCTACTTCGGTAGCATTCTTGAGTGTTACACAGAGTAGTCTCGGGTGATTTTGATGTTTAGATTCCTTTCCCAGAGTGAGTCGTGTGACCGTAAAAGGCTCTATTCTAGGAAGTTCGAGCTTTTTGTTCAGTTCACCTCAGAGCATCCTATAGTTTTTGTCCTGCAAACTGAGAGGAAGGTCAGGATTGTCTATGAGGTTCATGATTATGAGAGAGTCGTTACAGGCCGTTGTTGTTTTCCCAGGTTTTCCGGTGCGTTCAGGCTCAGTACGTTGTTGTTTGGAGGTCGAAGCAGGTTTTTGAGTCGTAGGCTTTTTGATAACCAGGCGGACGTTTTGGGGGTAGACTGAGCGATCAAAGCACCAGTTGATGTCCGTACAACACTTGGGATGTCAACCTTAGACGGTAACACCTGGTCAATTTTAGCTCTGTTGGCGTGGGTGCAGTCACCTTCAGAGTTTTTGGGAACCACCGTTGCGTTTAAGGACCCTGAACTGGGAGATCCAAGTTTAGTGAGGGAGCCAATTACCGTTGACGTAATGATGGTGCTGAGTTTCAACATGTCATCATTAGTGCTAATGCGTGTTCCATCGATGGTTGACTTATAAACATCCCTAATCTTATTTTCGTTGCGCGCCCTTGTTTGTCTACCTATTTTATGGCTATATGTTTCCAAGTTTACTGACAGTTTGTTCCGCAGACCTGTCAGTAGAACAATGATGTTGCTCAGCAGCACTACAGCGTCCGTGTTGCACGTAACACACACCCACTTACGGTCCGATTTACTGAGTTTCTTGTAAGCAGTTGACGTAAGATCTGTGCACGTTTCGTGGAACCAACATTTGCAGTTGTCGCACTGCATGACAGACGTAACAGCAAAACGGCATCCAGGTCGTTTGCATGAATTTTTCATGGATGTATTGACGTAAACTGTGTTAGAGATAGTATCAAAGTTTAAGACCGTTAAAAAATACACTAAAAAGCACACTAAAAATAAGAAAAGTGTGTAAAAACGGATGAGATAAAATTAACTAGCCTTTACGTGAAAAACTGAAAAAAAACGAATATTAAGCTGAGGCAAAACCACAGTTAAATATTAAATTGGGCGAAACTCAAAAAAAAGTAATCTACCGAACTTATAGCTCAGAATAGATTGTTTAGATCAGAAATGGTACTTTTGTTGCGTAAGAACACAGCAAAAGTTTGAGAAATGCAAACCATGTTAAGACTAAACTTCCCGTTGGGCTGAACCTTTGAAATATGTATTTCATTTGCCCACTGTATCAATGGGTAATGTGCTCTCTTAAATTCAAAGAAATATCTCTCTGATACGCATGACGAAAATGCTTGACTCACCAATAGAACTGAAGTTTAATTTACACAAATAACGAATTGGTTCTCTAGTGAAATTAAATATAAAAGAACTAGATTTCATATTGCATATTCAGGCGATAAAGTTAACCGTCATGTACAGTATTATTAAACAGAACAAGAATATAAGGAGGCTGTATGAACACAGCTGGATCAAAATAATATTAGCACTGAATTAATACTGGTATCAGACCTCTTCGCCATTGGGCTTTATTGATATTGACACTGGTACTTGAACCACCAACAATTCCATTGCAAAGAAACAAATACAGAATCTGCAACGAATTCGCTACATTTGCGTTACACTAAAACGAGTTCAGACTGCCAAGGCGTTGATCAGTTAACATGTCTCAAATGTTTATAGATCGATATAACAACTAAGTTGATTGACAAACAAACTGACGACTAAACAAAGACATACTATAAGGTTTTACATTTATAGAGTGCTAGTCAATTATACAGATGAGTTGAAATTTCCCAACAGATATCAAGTGATTTATCTGGTAGTCACATGGCCCCTCAGACCTTGTATTCCAGTATGGGTATCTGGTCATCTGGATTTAACATATCAGCATTGGATACCGTGTTAATGCACTTATCACTACCTTCAAACGGAATTCGGTCAATATCTAATATATTCCAGTCAATGCATTTATTGTAACAATGTAATCCAGTGATATACTTATTCATATTAACTTGAAAAATCGTCAAAAGGCATTTAGGTAATCTTTTTTTCCAGATTAGATGTGTTTACACTAACTTTTGAGATAAGCAGCTGAAAAATATCATCATGTATACCAACCTTAGTTCCCGAAGAGTAATATTCTAAACTAATCAGCCGTGAGTAATATAAGATTTATTGAGGAAACATTTTGACTTTGTATTTAGGTGAACAGAGTGATTCAGTTACTTGGGCCATGATTTCTTTCTAAGGGGTGGATGTTGTTAATAAAATGGTAAAAGATGCCTTCGACAAACCACGTTTTATATTTTTTTCAATATGGCAGACATGATATAATGTTTATAATTTATTGGAAATCGTCAATCTTCAACGTTTTAAAGTAATGTTTGCAGTTAGAAAACTGAATTCGGATTAAACGATAGACTCAAAAATGGTTAAATCTTTACTTTTTCAACAAATGGTGTTACAGTTCGTCCTTCATGGCTTTCTCATAAACACTGATCTAATTAGTCTTAATTTTAAACCCCACAATGTAGAGTCGTTCTGGATCCTAATGTATTCAAATCTCCTAATTTCAAACGACTCTGTGAGTAAAACCTTCTTATTCACGTAGACAGCTACAAAATGCAAGAATACATATGACTCACTAAGTTTGGAGAACAATAAGTGTATTTTTAATTTTAATCGTAACGAAGGATACTTTATTATTATATTTGTCACAAGGATTTACAATTAACTCTGACGAGCCAGGATTAATTCTACAAATTTCTTACTTCAGTTGTGAGCTCTTAAGCCTTTGAGCATTAGCAATTAAGTAAATATTTACGGAAAGGAAATGTCAGTGGATAAAAGCGTTGCCTTCTGTACAAAAACTATTCCATTCATAATTCGATAGATCTAGACAAGCGAAACTAGGATGGTGTGTCCATCAACTGTAAGACGTCTGCTTAAAAATATAATCTTAAATCGTGAATTATGCTAATCTCTTCAACACGTACTCTTGTAGTCACGACTGGACCACGACTCAGGTTAGAGTCGATGGAGTGTACAATTTTTATAAAAATGACTAAACTCTGACCACCTTATTTCTTCACTTCATTATTTATAACAGATTGAAACACTACCGAGTTCACTTAGAACGGTCAATGTACGTCTGGCTGTTTAGCGTGACGAAGTGAATGAAAACAAAAAGAAAACAGTTATAGTTAGGCACACGGAGTACCTTGAATTAATTTTTAGCCAATGAGGACCATGTTATGCTGTGAAAAGATTTATAACAAAAATTAGTAAACTCCTAATCGATGAACTGTTGTAACATGAATAATGGACCCTTATTCATGAATTTTCGGAGTTTCGATAACGAACTGATATCAGATACAATTGAAAAATACTTTGAAGCCATCTAGGTGAACATATTTTACGCTGAGGACTTACTAGTTCGTCCATATACTTTACGTCTATCATAAATTCCAATGTTTCGAGAAAAATAGGACTAATAATCCCATGAAATGAATCAAGAGTTAAAATATTAGCAACACTGTTGTATTATACGGTCAAATGTACAATCGATAAAACATTAGCAGAGGACTTCAAAGGTATGGGGATATTTGTCTTGCGGCAACTAAACGAAAGTATATAGCTACGCAACAAACGGTGCCTATTTGCAGTTAATGCACTTGATTACCAATAGTGTCACAGAAACTGAAGGAAATATGGTATTTCATTACGATTTAAAAAGTTATTAAATTCCCTGTACATCACAAACTTGGGAAAAAACTCGCTCTAAGAGAACTTACTCTACAAATTGGACATTTATTTGTGAGAACTGTGCAAACATCTAGGGTCTGTTTTGTCTATATTCTAAACCTAATGGCTTCACCTTACTTTACAGAACGAATTGTTGATCACAACAGCCATCTGCTTTTTCAAATTAGTATCTCAATCTTGTAATAACTGTGGTATTTGTATGAACTGATGATTCTTATGTATTTGGTTGCTCACTGATTACGAATTCCAAATATAATACGTTCATTTGTACTAATCTAGTTCTACCTGCTTCGAGGTGCACTATTTTGAAAATTCTTAGCTGCTACATTGATTAGAATACTTCTAATTATCATAATAACTCTTCTGAAAAACTGTAGCAACTGGTTACAACACCCATCTGAACTTAATTTAACTTTTGGGAAGTTTTAAATCAAACAGGGTGTGATTATTATATCATTTTTATCTACCAACTGGTTCTTTTTTCGAGTAATTATAGTTTATATTCATCATTTGTTTGTGGATTAGCATGTATGAAATAAATCACTTCAATTAATATATTATACTTTAACTCTTGGTATACTATTATATTAGGGTGTTAGTTCGTAAGAATATATATGAAAATGAACATGGGTTATATAGGTGTATTTCATCATCATAAAACATTATCAGTTGAAGTCAACGAAGAGTTGCATATTGCTTTCACTGTCAGCTTCCATATATACTCAAACATTTGAATAAAAAAATACGTATTTGATTAGCGCTTACAACGCATCTTCACACAAGCAAGCAACCAATAAACAACTCAGAATGCTTAATGAGGTCGCATCAACTGATCCAAGTATAAAAAGGATAAGAATGGCAGACAATGTTTGACGGTATATCCCCTTGTTGTGTTCGTTATGAAAATTCCATACCAGATCATAATGATGTGCCAAACAAAGAAAAATATGAAGTCATCTTCGAATTAATTGATCAATACCAGGATCGCCAATATATATATATATATATATATATATATATATATATATAAGCAATCCTGTACATTACTTGTAAAATGTTTTGATTTTGAAATTTTACAGACTGAAATCAAAGTCTCGAAGAGATTGAAAGAAATATTCAAAAAAGGTATAAATCTGATTTATTCACTTAAAATTAACTTTCCAAATTCTGTACATAAATAAAGACAATCGTTATCTCCTTTTCAATTAATAGTGATAATAACGATAACAGTAACTGTAGGCAGTTTAAATGCAAAGATAGTTTTATCGCAAAATCTCGTTGCGTATAATTTTCATTTAAATATTCAATATAGCGTTTTATAATCCACTCTCAACCAAACTTTACTTTCTTTTCTTTCCTCTAACCTTTTTCTTCTTTGGACCGGGTGCTAATTTACGTACCATATCAAATGTATCTTGATTAATACGGTGACCTAAACGTACACCGATTTGTGGTAATTTAGCATCTTTACGACACAGTATCCCTTCTAAAATTTGCCTGGCTGCAAGATCACCAATATCATTAGCAAACAAATCAACTTCTTGTAAATCCTTACTATGTGAAATTATACTGAAGGAAAAAGAATGATAAATAATTACGTGTAACACAAAAATTGATGTGACATAACAATTTCAGTGTAATCTGTTTCTTATAATATGTCAATATATTTATAAATTACAAATGAAAAATCATTTATTCAACATTGATCAATCTCTGAACACTGAATTATGTACTCTTCCTTTCAAGATCATATTCTTTTCCCAAACTAACGGATTTGAGGAAAAACCTGTATGATTACGTCAGGTTCTTTGTAAAGGTCTCGTACACTGCGGAGATAATTTTAATACGAAATACAGTCACGACGACAACTATTAAAAGCCAAGAAATATTGAACATTTGTGTCATGTTATGTTTGAACTCACATTAGTGTGCACTAACAGTCAAACACAGTGTGGTCTGAGTTTATAACGATCACAACAGTATGGAAACTTTTAGTCAGATCCGACAGTTAACATTTTTTTGTTGCTCAATTTTTCAATGATCATCAAATACCATCGTTGTGAATGTGCAGCACACCAGGACGCTTTGGTTTACTTAGTGCCAATAAAATCTTCCATTTGAAAACAAAGGTAGGTTACTAGAATTTGACCCTAGATATCTCGAAAGCATTTTCAATATATTATGAAATAATCAATATTAAGTTTTGATGTATGATACTAGTTAAATATGGTAAATCGGTTAATGAGGTCATGAGCCTTAAACAACTTAGGCACCTGGAACATGTGTTTCGTGTGTTTGCTTCCTGCCTCCACCGTGAGACATGAGTGTGTTTTGGAAGAAATTTAAACGTGACGTCAGGACAGTGAATCATTGACTATTGATCTAACTCATTCTGATGGATAAAAACAATCTGTCTAAAGTTAATGCAATAATGGTGATTATTGGTAAAATACTCTGTGTCAAATGTTTAAAGATTTGTTTCTTGTGAGGCATAAAAAATTATTCTAAATTGTCTTTTAGACCTTGAGTTCCAATATTATTACATAATTTGTATTCTAGCAATCTCTTTATACGAACCGAATTCTTCATAGTTAGTATTTACTACAATACTTCATATTACTGTTATCATGTTGTTCATCTTGTTAACCCAATTTCAACTTGGGTCAATGCATATTTACAACAGATCTTACCCTGATCGTGACTAAATGACTAGGTAAGAAATCAAAATGACTTTTAAAAACAAGCTTAAGTGCAAATCAAATCTACCAGCATTGATAAACATTAAAAGTAGAAGTATTTATATGATTTCATAACGCGTATCTCAACATAAAAGGATCTTAGTATACCTGGAAATACTAGAAGACTGTCATCAACCACTTAGTCTTTAATAACTTCCTATCTTAATAAAATACAGCGTTGTGTAGGTAATGGATATGTAACAAATGAATATTGCATATGATTATTATAACTCATTAACGCTCAAATGAAACTAAACGACAAAAAGAAAAATCCAAATTTGAAATCACTAGTGTAATATTGTATTATGTAATAAACAAAGTTGAAACAAATAGTATTAAAAACTATTGAAAATAAAGCCGAAAATATGACAACTGATAGTGAATCGATTAATTCCTACCATGAACAGCATATAGAAATGTTGGTTACTCAATTACAGTCATCAAAATGTTAATAATCAGTAGGTGGAGACTTTTGATAACATGCCTCAGGATTGGCCGTTTCTAATTCGCTATTAAGGCATTTATACTGATTTTTAATTTCCCAGACTTCGTAAAATATGACCATCTGACAGTCATTTAATTTGATATATAACGATGCACTAATGTGTACCAACTGGCTGACTTATGAATTTCGCAAGATTGCTGTTTTAATCAATTTTTTAGGTTTCAAGTGCATTCATTAAAATTTAATTATCATTTTACCTTTTTAATAATTGCATACATTTAACTGCATTAAAATTTCCTTCTTGACCATAATGACTAATTTCATTATCGGCTAATTTCAAAACTGCAATTTGTGGACCCGAGGGAGGAAATAATGGTTTGCTTTTATTCTTTCTACCACGTTTTCGTCCTTCGTTAAAAAGAACAATTTGAATCTAGGTATTATTAACTTATTAATGCATTCATTTATTTACTAGGATTTTATTAATGATTATTTCGTCAGAATATTCACGAAACAGTAGCTTGAAAATTACTTCAGTAATAATTTCTTGTTAATCTACATTGAATTTATCATTTTTGTTTTACTAAACTTGTTAGCCCGTACTTAATTGTGGCAGAATATGATCTAGAAATAAGGGCGCTTGAATGTTTAGAACCCCACAGTCGCAAATCAGAAGACATAAGGAGCAGGGAAGTGACTATTGGGTGATAATCAAAATTGTATCAGAAAAACATGGGTATTTATAGTTATTAGCATTGGCTATAACGTCATTACAATTCAGTCAATCCGCAAGGTGGCAAGTTATGCTCTCGTCCAAATGTAGTGTGACACGTTGATATTATAAAAGGCACTATTAGGTTTTGATTGAATGGAATCTCTTTAGTTCCTTTAAAGCCCATGTAGGCTTCGTTGTGCTTTTTGAAACTGTTCCAACTTAAACAACTGGAAATCATTTTCGGTTTGAAGAAAATTACGTTATTACATTTCACTTATTTTCTTGGTTACGGAGAATGTGTTAGTATAATAATTTCCGCAAATAATTTACTAGTAAGAAATGTTCATTATAATTTTAGGTTGCCTTGTGCTTCAATTAATTTTTTAAATCTTAGCTTCCTAGATAATCAAAAATAATGTTTTTAAAATACTATTATAGGATCATTTGTGTTCCATTGATTTTAGTATCACTAAGGCTTTTTTTTAATTCATATGCATGTCGAAGCCAATCATAGTGTACTTCTGGTAAATAGAAATATGTATAAAAGAAATCTCATAAATGTTTATGAAAATCAACATCTGATCAAGATGTCTTTTTATCATTTTGTTTGAAAAGAAATTAGAAGATCAACCAACTTCTATTAGAAAATACGACTAAACACTGATAAGTAATCAAATAAATTAGTATATCGATGAAAGATCTAATATAACAATGTTTGTTACATAGCATTTATAGTAGTTATAACATTGTGCTGAGTCAAAGAAAAATCACAAAAAACATGACAGAATTCCTCCTCCATGGGAAATACTCAAAATCTAACGACTGCATTTTATATCCACATGTGATTACTCAAATTCAATAACTTATTCATTAAATAGATCCTATTCTGCAGTTTAATATGAGTAATTTAGGATCAGTACTTCTTGAACACCAAACCTTCAGACTTATCAAAATTGACTTTTACGAATATATAATCGTTTCATGCATTATTCTTTCTAATTTGTGAAAATAGTTTCAGAATCAAACACAATAAAAACTGAAAAAAACAACGTTATAACAGTGCACCATAGTTTGTCTATAAACAGAATGATTTTTGACAGTATAATTACATAAACAGCCTAAGAACAGTTAATCCACAGAAATTGTCAATTCACTGATTCAAGAAAATAGTGATTTGAATGGCTATGGTATTGACTCTCAACTTTATATATATATATATATATATATATATATATATATATATATATATATATATAATGGTTATGAAAATTTCTATGTAAAGACAATTTACTTTCTCTAATAAGTCATGCAAACAATAGTACCAAACTACTCTATACCTAGTGCAGTAAACAAAAGACTATGAAGCCATACATGATTCTGACTGATTATCATATATTAAACAATTTTATGTTTGCCTAGTCATCAAAAATTGGTTGAATTCTATCAGTCCACTTATATTTTCCCTTAATACAGTACGAGCGTCAGGACATTGCACTCTATGTTTGAATGTTAAGTGACTGATGGCAATCAGAAGGAAACTCTATATTTAGATTCCATGTGATTCGACACTCCTTAGCAAAGCATAGCCACAATATTTAAGAGACTGTGATTCACTATGATTTTCAATTAGTACAGAAGTTAGAAATATTGACCTTTGAAACAATCAGACTGTGAGTAATCCCCTGCAGGACTGAAATTTTCTTCACCGATTGATTAATAAGCAGTAAACAGTCATATGCTTATCTAGTTCTTTTTGCTGATTACATTTTATAAATGACCGGGATCAAAGTTGACTTGTATCAGAAGTTAAAAGTTCTACTTAGGTCTAAAACATGTGCTGCATTTGAAATACCAATCATTATTACTTTCCAACAAAATCTTATTGATTTCTGTTAGTCAGTAATAAATAGCATAATAAAGTAAATTTGGTTCCACCAAAAATGCAAACGTTAAAGTTTTTCAGCCTATTTTAATCTAATACAATAAACTATCCTCATGTTCCTCACTCTCATCACTTCACAAAGATACCTGAGCGAAGGTGAGTTGTATAACGACCTTACCTATCTAATATTTGTAAATATCGTCAACTTACCTTTAGATGATTTCTTCTTATCAATTTTTTCAGAGGTTTTCTTACTTGACGTAGGGGTTCCTATGGATGGAGACTGAAGTGCTAGATCAACAATATCATCATGGGCCGCTTCTAGAACATTTAAGTCCTTCACTTTCGCCCGACCTATTGACAATAAAAGGAAAAACACAAAACCTATTATCTTCAACTCAGTGATTGCCCATTTATCTGTGAGTACATATAAAAATAACACTAAACATCCATTCTTGATATTACGAGATGATTTCATTAAAATCATTTACTCATAATTATTCATCCATTGATTTTATATCTTCTTTCATTAGTAAATGTACATCTGACTACCACTCAAACATAATACTTAGTTTGTGCTTTTTTCAAATATTATGTACTCAAATCACTGAAATATCTCAAAAATAAAATGAAACGCAAATTGTTACTAATGTATTAAGAGAAATAAAATGTCATCATTATCTTTTGAAGTATACTTGTTTACTTATACACAGGTGTTTATACAACTGATATGAAACTCTATGGAGAATCCACAAAATTAAAACTAATTATCGTGAAGTATATACCCTCCATTTGATCGATTGTGCCTTAATCTTAAATATATTAGTGTGTTTATAAGATATGAATGAATATGATTAGTTTAAACTAAGAAATTTAAAATGGTTGACAAAATTGTTAGAAAAACGTATCCAGAAGATGTGAACGTAACTAAAATAGGCAATGAATTCAGTGTAATTTAACAGAAAATATAAAGAACTTGGTGACTATCAGGACTCAGTAACTGAGTGGATAACGCGAGGGTGTTTGAAGCGAATGGTACTGGGTTCAAGTCCCAGAGTGAACATCAACACTGAGATGCAGATACATCTTGCTGACGAGTCCCAAATAGGACGAAACGGGCATCCTAAATTCCACTGCTAGCCACCATCCATCTTTGCTTAGAAAATATAATCGTTTCTGATAAATTTATTTATATAGTGTAAAAACGTTCTAATAGGTTATTTCATGACATTGGTTACATTTTTTGAAATAGTTTTAAGTCTATTATTTAAAGGAATAGTAGTTTCCAACCAAAGTTTTACTTACCATCGTGTTATGAACCGAGTTAAAATTTAATTCTTGTATTTAATTAACATCCTATAGATAAGTATATAAAATTAAACGTTTACATTGATGTAATGCTCATGTTAACTGTACTTCAATTATAATTTATTTAATTTTCTATATTTATCTTGACATGGTATTTTTACTGTTATGGTTGGGCCATGTGTTTTGTATGCCTGAACACCAATTACCACGACACGCAGTGCTAACTGATGTTGGGGATTGTTGGAAGAAAGTTAGGGGCGGCCAAACCAAAATGTGGCATCAATCCTTTAAGTCACTAACTTCTGGTCTGAGCCATGTCGGTAGATGCAGACTACTTGGTTGGGACCCACGTGACTATCGTAACCAATGGTTGGAGACTCTTGGTGGTATGACTCAGAATCGATCATAATGGCGTAGGTGTATACACTTTCTGTCTTCCCTTAAACTATTAAATTAAAATCGCTTCATAGCATTCTTTCTACGAACTAATTCCTTCTTCTTGTACTATATCCTTATCTGCATTCTTTTATATATTACCACCATTACTTCCATGAATCCGGTGTTCATCTTGTTGTGCTAATGCGGTATGGCAACTTGGACCGATGCACATATGTGCCTGATCCTATATTGTGACTGACTGACTGACTGATTAACTGACTGAATAACAATCAGATAACAGATTAAATAACGAAACTACTTTCAGAAAATCTGAAAACAGTTATTACCATATAACCATACATAGAGTATGACTTTAATCCAATTACTTTTGTTTAAATCACAAATATTCACGAATTTATGTCAGTGATTATCTATACCCATGACTAAATGGTATCTGTAATTTTATTTTATTTAAAAGAATATTGAATGAATTATTATCTATTATTATTATCTAAAATAATGTTACCTCGATTTTGAGTTTCCTCTAAAACTAATTGTTTTCTTCTTATCTCTTCAGTACGTTCAAATCCTTCTTTCTCTGCAGCATCAGAAATTCGACTGATTAAAGCTATAGTTCCTTCAGCTTCTAAAGAATTCCCGTCAAGAATAAGCTCTCTTCAGAAATGTTTTTAGAAAAAAAATGACATTCATAGTTTTCAAAGCTTAACAAAATAAATAAACAATAATTCAGATTTATTATTTCATTCATAGTTATTGTGATAAGTTCTTACAATATATTTCTTTCTAGTCAGTCAGTCAGCAACAACGTAGAATTTCGTATGTACGTACATCAGTTCAAGTTGTCATACCACATTAGCACAGAGATACAACTGCCGATTCTAATCCCATAGTGGTAGAGGTAGTAAAAGTATGAGCAGTATTCTGAAAGATTAGGGTTCCTTATAAGTAGTGAACAAGATATTGAAGCATTTTTCTAAAAAAAGACAAAATGCAGATTCATCTACATCGCTGAGAGAGTTTACAAATTGTCTTATATATTGATGTTTCCAAAATAACTTTATTTTAGACCGCAAGAAACAATTTTTCATATATTTCTTAATGAGTTGATCTTGGACATGCTTTGCAAATAATCTTAGAACAGGTTAAAATAAAACGACAATAAATAGTAATTGTCATTCATACTAGCTTACCTTATAGCTGTTTCTGCAATTACATTTCCAAGCCACAAACCACATTGTTTAGTGAGACCACAAAATCTTAAGCTTAAGCAAGTAAGGTATTGATTTCTAACTAAACCATCACATAATATACAACAACCTTGTTCACCAATTCTGAGGATATGAGATCAGAAAAAAAACCAAATATATAGTTAAACTAGTCTCATGGATGACATACTTATGTAATCATAAAAATGATTCATAGATCAGCTTCTATATTTACCAAGAAGGAAAGTTTCCCAAACATTTTGCATGGTAATCCATTCAATAACTTTATTCGGTAACATAAAAAGAGGAATGTACGTTAGAATTTTGAATTCCAAAAAGTTCAGCATTCCATAAAACAGAGGACCTGTCTCAATGTTAGACAGATTTTATTAATCCTCATTTTCTACTTTTTAGTTTAACTTCCTAGTTTTATATGCTGTTATGAAGTGTGACAAATCGAAGCGATACATATTCGTCCCAGATAGTCACCAACCTGCAATCGATTAGCTTTTAGTCACATGCTTTAAATTTTATTGTCCTTTGCTAACTAGAAAAAATACCACATACAGCTAAGTCGTGGTGATGTCATCTGTTTTCTAACTAATAATACTATCATATTTTACATCTGTCTTCCAAAATAAAGTTACTACCTTTAGCATATAGTAAGATAGTTTCAATAGAGAGTTCATGAGTTGTAGGTGCTGCAGCAATATGCTGACACGATCAATCATTTCAATAGTGCTTACCGCTGAGGTTCATCAATTAATATGAGACCACCAATATGGTTGTTTCGCCATACAATTAGACTGAAAAATGAACTAGCCAACATAAATTTGAAAGATCTGTTATCAATACACTTTACTAAGGGAACATTTTTCATGAGCTGAATAACTATAATTCAACGGACAACTAAAGTAGACCATTTGTATGAATATTCGTCAATATTTGAACAAATAATTTGATTGGAGTTTGACACAGAGTATATAAGACATTTTATGCAAAAGTTACATTTGAAATAATCTCAGTGACTGAAATCGTTTCGTCCAGCAATCGTATCTGAACGTCTTCTGAGTAATAAACACAGTTATCCCACGTTTCATTCTTTAACTGACAAATACTCGCTAGCATTGAGAACAGAATTTGAAAACTCGTGAGTTATGGTTGAACCTATCAGAAGGTCAATCATAACCTAAATATTTCATCTGTAAAGAATTTTATTGTAAATATGGAAATTTCAAAGTCAAATCTCGTGAAAGATAAGCTTATTTGAGGTTTTTATTACTTTTAACTGTAATTGACAATAAAGATAAAATATATTGACTGCGTTGTTGCGTTTTAGTCTGAATTCAAACACTGATGTGAACAGGGAAACAAGAAGCCTTGACAAACTACGAAAGCTAATTTTCGGGACGTTATTTCATTTTATTCAAAGCTTGTAAAACACTAACATTTATTTTTGTCCCTAATCTATTCTACAGAACATAAGCTTTCGCTCGATGTACCCTTTTTTTCCGAAGCTATTGTAATTTAAACATTTATTTTGTACCCTATTTTCTACTCTAATTCCCAGCTTTGGACATAATTGTATTTTTCCCAATTATTGTACGTTGCGGTTGGGTTATTCACCTATTTATTCATGTACTTTTTTATACACTATTCTGAAATCAGAGAAAATCAGGAAGTCAGTGAAATCAGTATATCAGGAATAGATCGAGTAGTGTTCCAATTGTCTTGTCTTCTCTCATTCTTGTGCTTGCTCACCAATCAGGTGACAGGATAGTTTTCTTCTCTCTACTCCAACTCGAACTCAGGCGTACTAGTCTCAAGGTTACGCTGACCAGCCTATCGCATCAAGGTCTAAATCTAGATTAGACAAGTACTAAGGTCATAACAAACTCTATGATCGCTACCAACTTTAAACCACCATTTCCAAATCGGGGGTAGTATTGCAGTGACCGAGAACACTGGTGGGGACCATTGAACGTATTTGACAACAAATTACAGAACTTGTTATTAAAATCCAACAACCATATATTAAATCGTTAATTTGCAAATTGTTCATCAATTGTCTTAAATGATTCAAAATCCCTTTGTTCTTGCATTTTCACACAAATTGCATTCTTTCTTCATTCTTTATTGTTCGATCACCTTACCTCTATGCTGCCAGACATTCTGTTCAGTACTCACGTCATATACTACTTATGTCTACATAAGTAGCACACACCACAGTATAACGGTTAAATCAAATTAAATCACCTACAGCTTTCCCATTCCAAGAATTGACATAATTGTTGTACTGTATACTAAAATTATCATTTGTTAACTTATCGGTCTTTCGTCAATAATAACCAAAACCCAGAATTTTTTTCTCCTTCCTTAAGTGTGAATGAATATGTTGATGCATTCTGTTTTATTATGAACGGGTTCAGATGGTCAAGTTTGTTGATGCTTATCAGTGAGGTGTGACTCGAACGGTTAGAAATGTCCATTCCCTATCATAAGTTGAATATATACGTCTTGTAAATAAACACCGAAATGCAAAAATATAGGTTGTTATTTTTCACTTAATCACTTTTTAAAATTAACATTTTTTATTTCATAATTAAAACGGTGTAAGCAAATTTCAACAGTTATAGAAATTACATGTAAAAGATGACAATGAACACAAAAAAAAGATGAACTGAACAGTTTCACTACTAATAGCTATTATCTCAGCGCAACAAGATAGTTTAAGATAATGCTGTCCCATAGAATCAGTAAAGACAAACCAACTTAAGAATGTTAAATACCAATACTGTTATAAGGCGAGCTTAACACATAGGAGCATTCGCCTAACTGGATAAAACCAAAAATCATCCTTATGAAATCGTAGCATTTCTCGTTTCAAACATCTTGAAACATCCCTGTTCCTAATATCTACTTGATTCATCAAACAGCATATTACCAGATGGTCATTATCATGGTTTCAATGAGAAATGAAATATAAAGATATCCAAGAGACTCAGTGTTCAAAAAGTCCTAAACCCTGACCTTTATGCAATTCACCAAGATGTTCCGTTGAGTAGTATGAATAGACTTCGTCGGAAATGTCTAAATTTAGCTTACAATAAATAACATCTTTTCTCATGAAAAACGCCTTCACCTATAAATTCAAATCAAATATAAGATTTGTGGTCAAAATTAAACAATGAATTTCAAATACTTCACACATTTACTCATTAAAATCCAAGGATAATTCACGCAGTATTTTAGAGATAGCAATATTAGCCACTAATAACTGAATGCATTTCGTGTCAAGAAAACAGTCGATTAATTCAATACGTGTAATAAGATAACATCCTTTATTGAACAAACCGGTCTAGAAATGAAAAAAATAGTATCAAGATGTAGAACTTATATACTAGATACATTTATCAAAATAGTGAAATTGTAGATTATATCGTGCTTTCAATAATAGACATTATCTTGAATTCGTACTAATATGTAATATTAATAGCAATAATAATAGATTACTAGCATGTAATTTAATACTAATCTCGAAATTTGCTTCCGTAAACACGAAATAATACATAAATAAATTATAATCACAAAAGGATTTTGTGAATGAGGGATCATAGATGCTCACTGCTGACGAGTTCCATACTAGGACGAAACGGCCGTCCAGTGCTTCCGGGTTATCCATGGTGGTCTAGCTTCAGTTGACTCGTGAATTCCACTATCATAAATAAATTATCCAGCTTCTTTGAGTGGTTTAACAGCAAAATTTAGTAAAGCGTATGGCTTACTGTACAATCCGGTATCATTGTGTATAACATATTTTCCATCACGGTAACATGGAGTGGTAGTTTTGATCGAGCATCACACCATGAGGATACTTACATCACATCAACTATATTTCGCTTGAAATAAGTTTACAGTTTGCGGTTTAATGGTAACAGTGACGAATATTACACAGATAAAAGTTAAAACAGAAACAATGGAAAGCACCTTAATGGACATAGTAATGGTTAAGACTAATTTTTATAAAACAATATTTTGGCAAAAAGATATTTTAAAACTTAAAAATAATAATTAACAAACACTTTTGGCCTAAAGATAAATGTTACGTTTGCATAAGTGTTGCAGCCAAAATAGGTAGACGTGGTGTGAGGATAAAAAAATCCCTTCCTAGCAAAATGATAAAAACGTTACGGGTCTCTCATTAAACGAATAACCGAACATCATTTTTGAATTATTCTAGTTTCTTGCTTAAAAAGAACATTCTAATTTTTAGGATATCTCAAATTATAGTGAATTGGCCTAAATGCTTCAGCTTTGTTCAACATAGATCGCTTATCCTTCCGTCTCTCAATAAAAACTTTTCATTGAAATCTGAGGACCACACTATTCGTATTAGGCAAAGTAGCATACACTTTCGTAAGTTCCATCGTATGTAAAGCGACGATTAATAGACATACCAAGATCTTAAATCTGGGAGTCTATGATCATACATAGATAAATTTTCTAACTGAATATCTTGCTTGTTAAATTTAGGCATCCTAAACCTAATTTAAAACTTCCTTTAGCTAGTTTTTCGCTTAAACCCCACTTTGATCCCCTGAATTGGTTTTTAAAGCCTTTAGGAAGTTCATTTTCAACTCGGTGTTACTAGTCTATCAGTTACTCAAATGCATCACCATAACAACCATTCAGAGGTGGTTTTTAATATTGCTTCTAAGAATTAAGTTTTATAGTAGATATGAGGTTTGTTAGTTCCTAAATTTGTTTTATGTTTTACTCAGATTATCGATGCAGAGGTAAAATACAAATTTTAACTTACTAATGCGACCATATCATCATTTTCAATATAACAATCCCATATTAATATTTCTTGTATCGTTGTATACCTTTTCGCTCGTATTGTTTCAATCAATGGTAAAAGTTTTACTAGTGGCTTATCTTCTTTCCATTGCTTTTTACTAATGTTCTTTTTTTGTATGGTTCTAATTTTATCATCACCACCAGCATTGCTAAAAACATCACTTAGTTTGTCATCAACCCAATACTCAACTGTTTTACGATCTTGTGGATCAACTAGAAGCTTTGTACAACAATTGATATTTTAATTTACTTACTCTTGTTACAGGACGATCTTCTTCTACAGCTTTTCTAAAACATAGTTTGATTGAGTTACAAACTGTCGTTTTATAATAATTAGCTCTTTGTTCGTAATCTTTGAGTAACTCTTTCATTAACCTTGCCAATGTTGTTTCATTCTATTAAAACGTTTACTTGGAGAAAGGTTGAAATATGGTCTCACTTGTGCACTCTTTTTTGGTGGCATATTGGGTGAGCTAGTAAAGATAAACCAAGATATTTACTAATTCTACTTCAAGAAATACATGCAATAAACATAAGTAACTATTCTTTAGCAACACATATATTGATTTTAAGGAATTAAATGACGAACGTTGTGAAAGCATCATCAAATATTTATGTTTTTTTCATCGCATGTGAACTGATTTAAAGTGACATTTAGCGATTACTTCACAAAAAAATCACTTTAGGAACACTAAGACTACATCAAAACACAAACAGACAGCAAATTAAACATAAAATTAATGAAAAAACTTACTAAATCTCTAAATTACTATATGTTACCGTGAATTTATTACAAGTTGCTTCTTCTACCGCGAAGAAACGTTCACATCATATTGCGAAACGCGTTTGCTACGACATTTATATAACTTACGGTTATTGTCGACATGAAAACTGGTTCCTATAAACATGTGACTTGTTGGTGGAATATATTACGTTTGTTTCGTAGAATATGACCCTGATTGAGATTATGCCTTAGTTCTACGTATTCGACCAGGAATTAGTAAAATAGTGAATGAAAATGACTTATTGCATATTTAATTATCACTGATGTTCATGTTTGTATATGAAGTGAATATATTCTTCGGAACTATAAATTTTAAACCATAGTAATCGCGATTTCTAGAGACCGAGCCTTAATCACGTAATAATATCAAACACTAAGTTGAAATTATTAATTATGGCTCTTATCAATAGTTAATGTTATTATGGACTAGTGCCTTAGCATCACACACTCTCAATATTTGCTATACACAGATGATCTTAAGATTAGAAGAAAGATGATAGATACAAACGGTTTATTTTCACCTCAAAATGCACTGCTGGGTCAATAGAAAATCTACTTCCTATTAACGGCAGTAATCCACGATCTTGAGACCACTACCCACTGACATTTGATTGCTGTTAAAGGGTTCAGAACCAAACAGACTTTAAGATGATTACTCACCAAGCTGCAAACAAATTTTTCGACTGCATTATACATAACCTAAGTATGATCTTAACTTTGAAACTGTGTTTATGTTAAAAGCCAATGTTCAACATGTGACTCGAATATCTTGTAAAAGTACATAGGAAAGCTACTCGTGCAATCAAAGAACTTCAAGGTTAGCCATGCACACTGAGACCAGAAAAGTCAGATCTCTCAGCTCTGTTTCACCAAAGATTAGGAAGTGGTCCAATTTTGATGTATAAAGCTCTTAGAATTGACTTTGAACCCGACATACTCTTTCTTTTTCTTCTCAAAAGATCAGCAAACCTCAAAACACATGGCAGGCGGGCCCGAAAATCAGGAACGACAAAAGCCTTGAGGCATGTGACTTTTCACATTTATTCAGAAACTCTTGGGACCTAATGTTTTGTGGTGTTTGAATGAACTAATGATTGCTTTGTGCTTGTTGAATGCCTGATTTCAAATTCTAAATACAGTACATTCGTTCGTACTTCTCTAGTAGTTCTTGATCCAATTACGTTGTTTCTGGGATTATTAGTTCATACTATAATTCAAATACTTTTAATCATCTTATGTCCCAAGAAGAGATGTTAGTAGAAGACTAAGCATTCATAAAAGCTTACCACAAAAGGACATACATAGACCTTTAGCTTTCTATACTCAGTGCACAAATCTCAATTTACTTGGTAATAATGATGATTCATTATATTTCAGTCACATCAGAGTGAATATTTCCTTAAGACAGAACACTGACCATCTCAAACAAGACTCTGTGCAAATATTTTGTGGCAAGAAACACCAAACAGGAGAACTCTTTTTCAGAAACTGTAGAAATGACATCTTTCGCAAAATATTTTAAAAGAAAGCTTCAAAACTACCTAGGTACAGTCTGTTGTGAGGTAGATTATTCTAAGTTCTACTGCACGACCAATTACACTATTATTAAATTACTTGTTTGTCCTCTTTGTATAGCATCACGATACATTTGTATCACGACGTCTTCAACAATATATACATATAAGAACATGAGAGAACGCAAAATAAATCTGAATAAGTACGACAATCTTGACACATAACTTTTTGTGACTTATAATATGGTAAAATATAAATATAAATTCTACGAAACTCAAATGAAAATCCAGGAAGTGCTTACTTTGATAGGCTTGAAAAATGAATTGACTATTTTCCAATTGAGCAATTGGGCAGATATTCCATAAGGCTTAACGTTCTAAAAGTTGTTAAATACAAAAGACTCTATTCGGTGGTCAACGAGTTAAAATTCCGCCAGCGTCGTTGTTATAGCAACAGATAATAGAACCGAATGTTCAAAATCGTTGCGACAAACTAATACAAAGCAAATCGATCTTCTAGTACTCTGTTTTTGGCGTCTCAGTATTACTCCTGGTCTTCGTCAGCATTCCATGAGTTTAGTCATGATACTTGACTACACCTTAATGAATCAGACAGCTATTCGGGGATCAGCAACTATCACGTTGCCCTAACTCAGTCAAATCATGAGTCAGAGATGAAGAAATACTAATTAGGTTGTCTATATGCTGAAAAAGTGCTTTGTCTAAGCCAGCTAGTAGTGAGTAGATGTGTTACTAAGTTGTGACCAGCTAGAAGTTTAAACCCAAATAGCTTGTTGCTAGTGAGCATACTTCTGATAAATTGCTAAGTCCTGCAGCATCTGGCTCTCTTCTATTGATATATGGAGACACGTAGCACAATATAAAATTCGATTTATCGTATGCTTCGTCGGCTTTAATGCATCGCAGTCATCTTAACACAGGAAAACATAAAAATGTGCGTGCATGCCAAAATATTATTATACTTGTGTAAGATTGCAAGACGTGAAAAAATCCTATGTATATACATAGGTAAACCACACAAAAATTTGTTTGAAGATGCCACGAAGATTCGGAGTTTGACAACGCCTTAACCAGCAACACCTTTATTGTAGAAGCATACCGAGCCATTCAAATCAAAAGTCAGGAATGAAGGATTTCAAAGTTATATTTTGAAGGCCATAGGTATGTCGAAGCAACTTTTGGTCTAAGCGGGCTAGTAGAAGCACTATGAGAAGCACCATGCACCAATTCCTAATCTGGTGCGGATGCGTGTTCTTAGTGCCTTCGAGTAGGCGAACCCGGTAACAAATGCCAGAGACGTACAGGGCGATTTATTTACAGCTACAGCTCACTCCCCTCTAGTAGAACCATGATGTCCTTAAGACATGGACAGTCAGAGATTTAAATACAACGGGTTTTTCGTTGGCAAACTCTTCTGAATGCTTGCTATGTTCGGCAGCATCTCGTATTTCCTTACAATAAGGGGTCATGTAGTTCACTATAGTAATGAAAAACACGTACAGTGCAAATTTCAGTTGTTAGCAATCTTCATCGCTTTTTCATCTCTTCTAGCCGTCCTGGAATAAAAGGATGTGTAAGTGCATATAGAGTTACACTCGTACGTTCGTATGGACACTTTTGCATATGGTTTATTGTTTCATCAGCAATGTTCCTTCTGACCATCATGTGAAACAATCTATACATGCTGAGAGGCAAGAGCATACATTTGAATGTGGTAAGAGTCCTACCAAATCCAGGCGAACATGGTTGGAAAGAATGTCAGGAGTTTGAATGAGCCTAAGGCATATTTGCTGCGCATAATCACCTAAGATTTCCGATATCTTACACACGAGCGTGTCTACCTCCTCACGTCTCTGTTCATATCAGACGAGCGAAATTGTTCTATGAGGCTCTTGACGGTTGCACAAATACCTGGGTGTGCAACGTATTGAAAATGGTGCATTGACAATGACAACGATTGGATGATCCGTACCTGTAGATGTGTCACAAAGTAAAGTTTCCCCAGCTGTTCCCTTCTGCTTAGTAAATAAAATTATGGTTGTCGAAGATAACTCGTTCTGAGAATCAATTCCTCTTTTTTGAAGCTGAGTGACTTGAGGACGTTCGAATTCTTGGAAACTGTTCAAGGACGTTATACGAGACAATGTGTCTGTCACTACGTCGTTTGAACCAGAAATGTGATGTATATCTGAAGTAAACTGCGAAACCTAATTCAGTTGTCGAGACTCTGTAAGGGAGTATTTGTCTAAAGATAAGCTTACAAAGAACGTAAGAGATCTGTGATTGACCTTTAACAGTGTTGAATGTACCGCACATAACAATTCATGGCTAGGGTTCCCTACCGAAAGTGCCCGGAGTCCCTCCGGGGGTTACTGCCGGTTCCAAGCCCGGATAAAGGAGGAGGGTTGGGCAAAGGGTTAGCGGCCATATCCCGTAGAAAACTAACTCGCTAAAAAACGCCAACCAGAAAAAATTATTCAAACCATTTAAACGGAGTCTAACAACTGTCTCGATAATCCGGAATGGCCTCTACTTTGATTTTTAGAGGCCGGATGCTTTAAGAATAAACATAATGTCCGTGGAAATCTAAGGAGACTGTGACGATCTGGCATTTCTGAATGTTCACAGAAGTGCCATGTTTGTGTAGTTGTTCGAAAATAAGGTCCAAAGGCTGGATATGAGATTCTCTATCCAGACTTACAGTCAAGTGGTCATTAACATGCTAGTGTACGGAGGTGAGACTTCGAAAATCGTCGACGATGAATGTGTTTTAAAGCTTTTGCAATGTTTCTTAAGCTGAAAGGCATACGCGAAATTCGTACAGTTCAAAGGGATTGATGGTATTCGTTTAAGAAATGTTGTCTGAAGCCATGGAAACTTGGTTATATTCTCTAACCAGATTGATTTTCGAAAAAACAGTCGCCCCTTTTAGAGTAGCGTCCAAGTCATGGGTGCGTCATAAGGAGTAACGATCAGAAATGGCTTTCGTATTTACTTGACAAAAACCGGCTGTTGGACGCCAATTACCGCCATCTTTTTTATGCGCATTTACCTATGGGTGTTTGATAACTGCATAATCCCCAAATCGATCATATGCTAATCGACATGTTTTCAAGAATATAGCCGTGCCTTTCGTCGTGATGTGTTGTGTAACGTTCCTGGTTACTCTCGGTTATTTCAGCCGTACTTTGTGTTACTCCGTAATACTTGTCGATCGTCCGTCGGATGTTTAGGTCAATTATATGCCTGACTGACGGCAAGTCCTATAAACAGATAATTTAGTATTTTTTCACTAACATTCATTTGTCCTCTAAGTTCTGGTGATTTCTAGGATCCGGTCGAAAGATGTATTTTGAATCGAAATGAAAACCGCTTGCACCTTTTCGGGTAGCCTAAGTCGTTTAAATAGGCCTTCGTTGAAAGTGCGTTGGACAGTTACCTCCCTCATATGTTGCAACACTTCTGTTACCGAGCCATATCTCGAATTTTCGTGTCCGCCATGCTCGCGGAAGTCAGCTCCTGCATAGCAGAACCAGGCCTCCATATTATTAGGCAAGAATGTCATGAGCTGAAGCGTGTGGGGCATAAAAGTCGAAACCTATACCGACATATAGATGATGATAAAAGGAAGAATAAGTAAGTAGGTGTGATGACTAGGAGTATCTGAATTATTATACAAAGTAGGAATTCCAAAAATAAAGCATTTTAATTAAGAAGAACTAGATGAACACAAACGAACGTATTGTCTTTGGAATTTGAAATCAGGCAGTTACCAAGCACAATGGAATCCTTAGTTCATACAAACATCACAGGAAGATAGAATAATATTGGCGAAAACAACGACAGTAACAACAACAATAGGTTATTACTATTCACAAACAGTTTATGGGCACATAAGTGTTGTGAGGAAACAATGTCGGGTTTCTTCAGAAATGCAGTAATACAGAAGTTTCAATAACGTTGGTGTTATAACGTGAGATCCGCCTATTAGAGAGCAGCCTATTATCGATCGAAACAGTGACGCATAAAATACGAGCGAGCAGCCTAGAGTCCAGATTGGTCCTGCTTCCCTGTCTAGCCCAGCCAATTGAATCCAGAACACAAGTCTCAGCCTCGGAGATATGAATCGTTATATTTCAAACATACACTGTTTATATACCAAACAAACAGACTACATCGTACCATAAAATAGAAAGTAACATTTGTACAAGATTTAACCTTCAGGAAATGACACAAATAAATATTGACCAATAAGGAGATGACACGTTGGGAGAATGTTGACCAATAGGGAAATGACACTACTTCTCATTCAGGAATAGCATTAGATAATTTCTGGGGTATTTTCTGAATACCCCAACAGTTAGCATAATATTTGCCATATTTATAAAAACAGGTTCTGTGTAGTTGAGAAGAATATTGAGTTGACTTTAAAGAAGGATAGGGAGAAAATGAGAGAATAGAAATGAAAAAAAACGCGAAATACTTAAACTGTTTAATAAGCGTGTTTGTTAACACAGAACAAGAATAAACGACTATGTAATCCACATGAAACTTATTAGGCAGGAAAAATATCTGTGAAGCGGTTATGAGTATGAGTAGACTATAAAATGTATGACATTCAGTGGGATACTAAGAATACAATAATCCCATCATGAGCAAACCACTGGGTGCTCAATATACCGGAAATTATCAGGCCAAATCTTACATGGAATAACCGTCATGTTAATTTTTCGCTACATAAAAAAGTTTGAGCTTTACACTGTAATCCCTGTCCCTGTATATGGACTTCCAGTATAAATTTCATTCAGTTTAATTAATAAAAGAAATACGATTCTCAGTCATGTTCTTTTCTAACTGTTCACAGTAACATCTCAAAAATCAATGTCTTATAAATTCATTTTCAAGTTTATTCAAGTAGTAAATTAAAATCTACTAATAAAGTTATATATGTTTCATATTTTTCTTTGCTTTAAACATCTCTAGGGCAAACATCCCGATAAACACATTCTCCTAATTTTAACGAGAAGCAGCTACATTTCGATAGATATTGGGTTGTGTTAATAAGGACAACTCTGGATAAACATTTCAACTTGGATTTAGTACATTTTACATTCATCCACTAGCGGAATTCAAAAATCATTTGGAAGTGTCTGGATCTACAGGGTGATACTCAGATTGAAACTCGAACCCAGTATACATCCATTAACTAGTTTGTATAGTTTATTTCACAACGATTGAATGACTTTCACTAGGTGAAATTCCAAACTCAAAAAGATGTCCTTACAATTTAATCTTGTCGATATACTTGATCCAACAGTGAATGGTTATTTGGCTTCATGACTCTTCACATCATGAAATCAGACTTTCAATAACTGAATTCTAGATAGTGTGATCAGTGACTTGGGTATATTTA